ATAACAACATAATATTATATCTCTGTAACTTTCTCACATTTGAATGATTGAAGGCAACTTGTTGGTGGGTGAGACAAACATTATCGAAAATGCATTTACTCAACGTCAGTGACACAAACCCTTTCTGATGGCGAATTATTACTCTTATCTTATAACTGCCTTTTGGCTATATCTGCCGTTGTATTGGTTGGTGGAGCATATGTGTCGACCTCATGCGGGTGCTAGCTGGCGGGAGGATCTGAGGAGACTCTCAAGGCTGCGGCCGAAAGCCGCACAACGTGGGACCCCATTCCCTTGAGGTGAGCGGTAGACTCATGACACGCTCTGCGGCTAGTAGCCGTGCTGATCATGCAATTGGTGGGCAACTGCAGGAGCGGCGGTCTGGCAGGTGGTGGCGCTCATGGAGGGTTTATGGCCAGTGTTCCTATTTGCCTAAGCCGTGTGACGTACATTCAATGTGGCTGGATTCGTTCGTATTCTGTATGGCGTTTAAACCCATTGACATGCGCGACTTCGGTCGATGTTTGCGCTTACGCACTAACAAGGGGCCAAGCCTCTTTTACTGGTTTGCCAGTTATTTTACTGTGGACTACGGTCCAGTTCCCGAATTAGCGTTCCCTTCGGGGGGGAGTGCATCAAAATGGTTGGCGCTCATCGTGCACGGCGTGTGTGGGGCCGTGTGCCTCCCCTACATTTTTTAAATAAATGTAGGAGAGCGAAGCCCTTGTATCGGGTATTTTGTATAAATATATTGTGAGCCTTTTCCAAGCGGGAAGGGATAATTAATAAATAAATTTATAATGCAAACCTGATACAAGTGGAATAGGGACGTTTTATGTTCTTAACCTTTCTCGAGCCCTGTCTTCGTGAACGGGGTTCACTTAGCTTATAAGGCACTACCAACAGCTTTCAATTGCTCTAGTGAATATTCATTCTTCCAAAGACACCTAAAAGAACTAAGTTACTAAACAAACACAACGTAAATAAGGGTCCTAACTAAGACGATCACGCCAAAATATTACAAACGGCCTATTATTAAACCTTTAGAAAGATCAAAACATATTTTATTAATCCTGGTCACAAATATATAATGCTATTGAAAAGGGGTAAATTAATTATATTTAATATGATATTATTATTATTATGAGAAGGAGGGAGCGTTACAATATCAATAATATGTTGCAAACCCGTAACATCCATTGCTATGCAGATGACAGTACTGGTGATGCTCTGTACGACGGCCGTGCCAATATTTCTCGGGAAAACGTCTCCGAGTACCGGGACAAACTTGTCTCTGAAGTCGAGTCTTTGCTGATCAGAGTTTCGGATTGGGGGCGATTAAATCTAGTCCAGTTTAACCCTCAGAAGACACATGTTTGCGCGTTAATTGCTAAAAAGAACCCCTTTGTCGTATCTCCTCAGTTTCAAGACACTCCCCTTGTTGCCTCAGCCAGTATCGGAATCCTCGGCGTCGCCATATCGAGTGACGTGCAGTTTCGTGGTCATTTGGAAGAGAAGGCCAAATTGGCCTCTAAAAAGCTTGGCGTGCTCAGCAGAGCGGGACAGTATTTCATGCCGGCATACCGCCTGCAACTTTACAAGGCGCAGGTTCGGCCGCACATGGAATACTGTTCCCATCTCTGGGTTGGGGCTCCCCAGTACCAGCTCCTTCCACTTGACCGCATCCAGCGCAGAGCGGCTCGAATCTTCGACGACCGAGTGCTTTCCGATCGGCTCGATTCACTCGCACTGCGAATAGATGTTGCATCTCTTTGAATTTTCTATCGCATATACCATGGGGAGTGTTCTGAGGAATTGTTCGGATTAATCCCAGCCGCCAAATTTCGTGAACGTATTACACGGCAAACGTCCCGATACCATCCACACCATCTTGGTGCTTAGCGGTCCACCACTGTACGTTTCACAAGGAGTTTTCTTCCGCGTATGATTCCGGCGAATTTTCCGGACCGATACGACCTGGGGACTTTCAAGAAAAGAGCTTACTCGTTTCTAAAGGGCCGGCAACGCACCTGCAATTCCCCTGGAGTTGCGGTTGATCATGGGCGGTGGTCAGACACTTAACATCAGATGAGCCGCATGCTCGTTTGCACCCTCTTCTATAAAAAAAAATAAACCCAACTAACGAAGCATTGTTGCTGTCTTACGTAAGGTTCTATAAAGATGAACAAATATGTCAAGAACTATTATTTGCTAGAAATTTATAGACAGACACAAAAAGAGAAACCATATTTAAAACACTGGAAACTGGTTTTGTGATGAAAAAGGAATTCCCTTGAAGAATATAATATCAGCTGCTACACATGGTGCTCCAACCATGACGGGGTGTCAAAAAGGTACATAACGTACTTAAAAAATAAAAGTCCTTATGTGCTTGCTGTACATTGCGTTATACATCGACAATATTTGGTTGCTAGAAATTTAAGTCAACGACTGTTTCAATCATTGCAACATGTCATCAGAGCAGTCAATAAAATTCGAAACAACTCTTTAAATGACAGATTTAATCAGCTTTGTGTTACTAATGATGAAGACTTTAACCGATTGATCTTTCACACAGAAGTAAGTTGGCTATCAAAAGGAAATTGTCTGACTCGATTTAACAATATGTTTGACCCTGTCGTAGAGTTCTTGGAAAACTAAGATACATTTTTTTCACGACAACATCATCACGTCAAAAATTATATCGCATACCTGACAGACCTTTATAAATTGCTTAATGATATGAATCTCCAACTTCAAAAGGATGACTTGAAATTAATAAAAACAAAAAATATGTCGTCGCTGCTTTCGTAACCAAGCTGCTCTTACACAAGAAGAATATAGGCAGACATGAGTTCCATAATTTTCCCAATATATGTGTATCCTGCAACAACGGCGACTTGCTTGTCTACTCCCAGTATTTGGAAAATCTCCACAGTGATTTCATTAAAAGATTCCAAAAATTTTTAAATTGAAAATAACAGACTGGGTGTTAGATCCATTTTCAAATGTCAACATAGCAGTATCACCCCAACTGAAAATAAGAACCTATGGAACTGATAACGAACGAGGATTTACAGTTCTTTTTTGCTTCCGACATGGCTTTGTTTTCACAAATATATAAATAAAGTGTTGAACTTAAATACTTTTTTAAAGATTGCGCGCGAAACCACTAATGAAAATATAAAAAATATTACGAGATTTTATATAGGATTTAAATACAACGCGCACCGACAGGAATAAGACAAAACTCATTTTTCTCTTTCGACGCTCAATCGTACTGAGAAAGTTAAGACAAGTATTGATGCATCAGCTGATCGCTACCGGATTGCCGGGTGATTGAGGCGTTATCACCCATTTTGAGAAAGAGTGTCATAGTGGCATACGTGACAAAGAAACTTTTTTTTATATAGAAGAGGGGGCAAACGAGCATGCGGCTCACCTGATGTTAAGTGACTACCGCCACCCATGATCAACCGCAACGCCAGGGGAATTGCAGGTTCCATGCCGGCCCTTTAGAAGGGAGTAAGGTCTTTTCTTGAAGGTCCCCAGGTCCGGAAAAATCGCCGGTGGTAAACTATTCCACAGAGGTTGTACGCGGAAGAAAACTCCTTTTGAAACGTATAGTGGTGGACTGCCAAGCATCCAGATGGTGTGGTCGGGACGTTTCCCGCGTAGTGCGTTCACGAAATTTGGGGGCTGGGATTAATCCGAACAATTCCTCAGAGCACTCTCCATGGTATATGCGAAAGAAAATGCAAAGAAACTGTCGATTTCTTGGCAAAACAAGCAACTATATCAGGTACGTTAATGCATTATATAACATAATATAACCATGCCCTTATTTCTCTTGCGAAGATTCATCAGATGTCAATTGGAATTCTCTTTAGAAAAAACTCAGAAGTCAGTAAATACTATGCAGAACTCCAACTTGATATTCCCTCCAAAACATTGTTTTTTTTTAATTTTAGGAATTGCTTTAAACATAGCACATCTGTTATATGTAGAATTAGATTAGGACACACTTGTTCCCCTGTTTTTTGGCAAGACTTATAGTCTTTGCATTACAGCATCGTGCGGGTGACAGATTAACATTATTTATAGAACGTAACCTGCTGTGTGCGTTTACAAGATTACGAAAAAATTTTAACTATCAGAAGATAATACTTGATTTTTATTATTTTTTCTATTCTATTATGACTATTAAATTTACATTAACTTCAAAAATCTCACATAATGTAGTTTTTTACTAATAAAATTATAAAAGTTCAATTTATTTACTTGCGTGCGCAGTTACTTATTATTACATACTAGCGTTATTTTTTTATTAATTACTGGAGATGTGCTTCATAATCGAACGTAAAAACTGTCAAGCGAAAACAATCGCATGGAGGTTAGAGAACAGGAGAACGATCGCCGTAGAATATAGTCTCCCAGAAATATGGACACCATAAGTGAGGCGCTGCGATCACTAAATTCGGTCAAATAAAAGTATTTTCAGTCTATTTTCCGATCAGATGCTAAACCAGTTGCACATCCACGCACTATAAAATATTTCTCCATTTTTAAATGTTTCATTTTGTCAAAAATTTGAAAATTACGGAGCATGAAAATTTTCTCACCAATTTCGCGAAGAAAATTTGTACATTATTCAACTAACTTCTGTTATTTACTGTTTACAGATGCCACTTTTTCAACTATTCTAACCAACTTTTATGTTGGTACTCCTTACTTCTACACTACATAGTTCCTAAGTAGTAAGTTGCTATGGCTCAGAAAGGCTAAAACCCAGAGCCGTAAAACCAGTTAATAATAAAAAGATGCTATGGGTTGTTGCCAAACGAAAAAAAGATTTGTAAACGTCAAATTGACATCAAATTTAAAAAATTCAACGGATTGTTTATAATGTAAAATGTATAGTTGATTAAATTTAAAAACTTATTAAGTTTTGTGTTTAATTTATAGTGTCGTTTGTTTGTTTCGCAATAAATATAAAAAAAATGGAGTACCCTAGCAGAACAAGTATATATATTTTTTGTCGTTGGACTATAAAATTTAAGACAAACCTGGTGTTGATGCGATATCTCCTATTTCAGAGTTATTAGAGCTCCAAAAAATAATGAGTAAGATGTCATTCGAAGTATGCCGCATAATAGTTTTACCTGTATTTGGAGTGCGCTGGTGGGACGTAGCGCGAACAGTTCGCAAGTCAAGGTTACCAATGACTCCACTGAGTATTGCAAGAATCATTTGTAAAGGAATTGCTAGGAATCTGCCCGCTGAAGAAGTGGATGAAATAATATCAAGACTGCGTCTAATATGTAAGGAAGACAAGGAGGGTAACACCCTCTGGCAATATAATTATATATTAAATTTTAATATTGATAATTTAATAAGATGATTTAATTTTAAATTTCTTATTCATTATTAAAAGGTTGAATGGGGCAGCCCATTGGTTATTATGCTCTGGGGGCACAGGAGTGCCCCCCGCCAAGTCGAGATAAAAAAGCGGCATGGCCGTACCACACTTTTCTCAAAGCAATTCAGGACATTTTCGACCCCCTATAACTTCGTTGTTGATAGAACTAGAAACCTGAATTTTCAGAAATCAAGCAGGCATTGTATAGACACAGTATACTTCAAATTTCATTCAATTTGAAGCAGTAGTTTAGAAATTAAAATTAGTCAAAGTTTCTTAATTTTGTCACTCACTGACTGACCGATCATCAAAACTCTAAGGCACTTCTAACAGATATAGATCTATAGATATAGGCTTGGCAATCGCACTAAGCAATCGAATTTAATATAATATGTATTACTTGTGAGATACATTGAGTTTTCATGTGAGGGCCCAAGTCAATCTATTTATTTAAAACATAAAAGATTTTTAATATTGATATGGACACAACAAGACGTTGTTATGTTAGCTAATTATGTAATACCTTAAGACAGAAGGACCCTTAAGTAGGGACTGAATAAATTAACCGACTTGGTATTACATGAATCTCACAACTATAGAAGAACTGAGTTGTGAGACTTGTTTTTTTACAAGTAATGTTTTTGATGATTTGAATTAAAAATATTTAGGTAGCAAATTAGTGTCACTCTTTTAGCGTTTCATACGTGCTGCAGAGCTGGAGCAATTGGCTTTAATTTAACCACTCTAATGGCCAAATATTCAAACGCTGCTTAATTGTAAGATGTGAATTCTTGTGGTGTTACAGTCACTTTGACTTATGGAAAATTTACACTTTGACAAATACAGTAGCGAGTTAACTTGCGAACTTGACGAGTTAAGTAGAAAATCTCGTTTAATGGTAATCAGTGAGTTAAGTAGCAAATTAACAATTAAGTTGAACGGGATAGCCGACCGGCAAATCAAGTGTGAAGTGAGCGAGTTTAGTTCAATGTATAAGTTGACAGGATGCCACGTGTTTGTGTTTGACCCTCATAATATAAAATTGTACTTTTTTCACTAAACTCGCCACATAGACATTTGAACACTACTGTCCACTTAACTGTTTTCTGTCAACTGCTTTATAACTAAACTCGCTACTGTACTTGTCGAAATGTAAATCGGTCTTTAATGATACAGACAGAATAAGACTTAACGGTGTCTAAAAATTGATTGTGTGATGATTTATATGTGGTAGAGTCATGCTGTAGTTACATTAGTAGTATAGTTGTAGCATGAATGGGTCGGTTCGACCAGAGAAGGACCACATTCTCAATGAACACTAGCGTAAAATAATAGGTTAATGCTCCTGTGTTTTGTATGGTGAGTATAGAGGACCGAAGACCCTTTTTACTGGAAATGAGGCATTCCATCTTACACCTCATGGGTGAGAACGCATCTGCATTTTGATTTGTATTTGATGATAGAGGTAGATTTCTATGGGCCACAGCAACCACTTACCATCAGGTGGACTGTGTGCTTGTTTCTGTTATCCTATTAAAAAAAAGACTTTGAGTCTCCTATAAATGTTACAGTTACTATTACAGCCTATCAAAGTCCACTGCTTAACATAGGCCTACCCCATAGATTGCCTCATTGGGGATTTTTTCCATAGTTTGCCACGCTTGGCATGCAGGTTGGCAACTGCAGTTTCTTATTTTTAGTCATTACTAGGAAGATAGTGCTGCTCATCTTCTGATTTGTTTCCCTCTCGCTTCTTACGACACCCACGGGATGATATGGGGTAGTGGATATTCTTACACCGTCACTACATGGTAAACGTGTTATTCTTCAAATATATATAAGGGAATACATGATAATAGATCTGTAGTGTAGCCATGTCGCCCATGGTCTAAGCTCCCAGCATAAATTTAACACTCCGTTACCCGCGCAGGGCACAAGAGTGTCCCAGGTATGCATTTTTGCTCATTATTACTTAGTTATTTGATGCACAGTCTTGTGACCTTAAATAGCTGTTACTAGTATTCTTGTGTGTGCGCTAATGTCGTGTCAACAGAGAGTGTTTGCTGTATTATTATTTCAGTGCACTTGGGACACCTTTGTGTGTGGAATGAAGTAGTTTAACGTAATAACATATTTTGGTTATTTTCTTACAATTTTTGAATAATTTGTTTCACAAAAATGTAGGTAAGTAATGATGACTAAAATGTCAAATTAATGTTCAGATGATGATTTATCAAATAGTTTTTAAGGGTAAAGTAGGGGTCGTATATTTATTTCTTTGTTTACTTTAAAAGCGCCAATAAATACATATTGCTTATGAATTCATTTTATTTCATATTTCTCATCTGATAGGGGAAAAAACTAAAATTTCTTTGTGGCACTTTTGTGCCCTACGCATGAAATTGAGTAATGATTGAAGGTGCTTGTAACAGAGTGATAACAGTATGCCACCAACCATAATAAATTATTTTTATGATCTTTCTAATGATCCTTTTAAAGGTTAAGTAATAGGCCATTTGTTATATTTATGGAGTGATTGTCTCAATTAGGACCCTTATTTATATTGTGTTTGCTTAGTAACTTAGTTCTTTTAGGTGTCTTTTGGAAGAATGAATATTCACTAGAGCAATTGAAAGCTGTTGGTAGTACCTTATAAGACCAGTAACCAGGTGTTAGATCCGGCACTAACAAAATTGATAATTTGAATTGTAAGTGCTAATTTAACTAATGCTTAGTGGCAGTGTGAGCATATCCACAGCCCCATATTGTCCTATAAGTCTTTGATGCATTGTTAATCCTGATAACTTAGGTACCTACTTGTCACTAGAAAGATTCTTCAGTTCTCTACACTCACCATACAAATGCTGCTGTTATTTTACATTAGTATTCTGTAAGAGTGTGATATTTACTGGTCCAACTAACCCGTTCCATGGTGCAACCATAATATAACAGCAGCATGGCTCGATAATGTTAAAGTCTGTTAATATATTCAATCTTTTTTTAGTGGTCGCAACACAAAATAATAGAATTTGGCATGTTATTGAATTACGAGAGCCATTAAGTGAAGAGCCGGTGAAACCAGCAGAATTGCGTGAAAGACTGATGCAAGCATTACAGATTATGCGTGTTTGCAGAAAGAAGACACCAGAGGTTTTTGTTTTGTTAATTTTTTTTTTGAAATATTAAGTATTTTAGAGACTGATGGGCTTTAGGGCAAGGAAGTGTCCGCCGCATCTTTGAAATATTTTTTCTTATTTCTTAGACATGCAGGTTTCCTCACAATATTTTCCTTCGCTGTGACGTAACCTTTATGCGATCAGACATTTATGTAATTAGAGAAAAGAGTACTAAAAACTAATAATTCTGTTGAAATTGTATGAAGTTAAGCTGAGAATATAATATCCTACAGATCAATTTTCGGTCACGCGGCTAGTCTCAGTGTGGATAAGCCAACTTACCTTACAAGCGTTTATAGTGCATGATAGTGTATGTTAGTACAGTTGCACTATATATTCCATTTCTTTCAAAGTCTGATGCTCAACAAGCCGACACAATCAGAGGGAAATCAGTCTATAGACCAATGATTTTATGTGGTTTCTGAGGCATGGCGGTGAAACACCGCCAACTTCAAGCTGCTGCTGAGAACTTCTTGATAGAAAGCCCAGTAACTTATTTTGCAACTGCAGGTGGCATTAGGAAGCTCATTTTAACAAAACAACACTACGAGAGTAATACTGAAATTTCTTAGAAAATCAAATCAACAATTGTTAGTGTACCACACTGCGGTCACTTTTTTCGATCCTCTAAAACAATTGTTGCGTAATGACCTGTCCTTCCGAAGAACGAGGCCACCATCTTTTTTCCCATGTTTCGATCTCTCTTCACTTTAGTTGGAAACTCCTCGGAAGGAAACACTCACACAGCATACTGTCTCTTAGTTTCATTATCATAACAATAAATCCAGCTTTAGTCACCCGTAAGTATGTCGAACAGAGCATTTGAGTCACCTCCGTTAAATCTTTGAACTGTTTCATGACACCAATAAACACAATGGAGTTTTTGGAACTCTGTCAAATTATGAGGTATAAAGCTTCCTGACTGCTAAATTTTCATGGAGGATTTTGTGCACTTGACTCATACTGATCCCTGAGCTTGTCCGAATCTGCTGATGAAGTCACTCTTTTGTCAGTAATTATCATGCGCCGCACAACACTGATGTTATCTTCAGTTGTCGCCATAGAAGACCGTCCCTCACGCAGATCATCGGTGAGATTAATGCGACCACGCTTAAATTTATTAAACCGGTTGTAAATAGTGGCACGAGATGGTGCTTCATCGTGAAAGGCCAAACGAAGTCTATCATAACTTTATTGTTAACTTAAATGACATTGATTCATAAAAAATCATTGTACGAAAATTTTCTTGCATTAAATTCATGGTGATGGTATGTGAATGATACACAGACAATTTTCACTTTTGCCACCAAAACGTAAACAAACGACTAATTAATATAATACATACACAATAATATTGGTAAAGAGTTCCATTTTCAAAATTTGAACTTATTTTTTTATTATATAATAAAACTTTTACAAGTGGCCAGTTCTAAAGACTTTCAGTGTTGCCCTCATATTAGATAGATTTGTATTTTCTGGTGGCGAAATAAATATATTTTCGCGTTGTGTTACCATTACTACAGCCTATCTAACTCACACAACCTGCTTTGAGACAAAGGAGCCCGCAGTCAAAGTTATGATAGTCGCGGCTGTGTGTGATGAACTCTCCGTTTATCAGTTTTCTTACAGATTTGAACTAGTAGAAAATAGGCCAATATCTACCCAAACAATTTAAAGTTTACTGCTGAACATAGGCCTCCCCTATAACTTGCCTCATAGGCGGGATATTTATCATAGTTATTAGTTACCATACTAACTCGCAGACGAGTTGGTAACGACGGCTTTTTATTTTTAGTTGTTATTTAAAATGAGATGCTGCTGCCCATCCAACAATCATGGTTATTCTTACACCATCACCACCAGCCACCAGCATATATAAAACTATATTATTAATATTTTTTTATAAACCTCATATAAAATATTACTGAACTAATTTACTACTATTTAAACTAATAGAGTTAAATTAAATAAACTATCTTTCAAGTGGATTCAGGACTAGACTAATCCGTTTATATATAATTTGTTTAATTTATGCAGTTTGGATCTCGATGACTTTAAATGAATTTATATTCTGTTTTGAGAACACATTTATCGACCCTAAAATACACAATACATGATTAGAAACAGGTATTACATGCTACAATTTAAATCTAACTCACTACTACTTCTATGGGAATTTATATAAACATTAATTTACTTACTTCACTGCGCACATCTTGTCTCCATCTACATTCCATACTGACGGTGCTCAATGCTGAATTTTAGTGCGAAATCGCCTTGGGCAGTATGGAAGATCTACGAGTTTTTACGCACACAGAAACATTGTGCACATGCAATTAACATACACAATTAAGTACAAACAGCCTTTGTGAGTTGAAACACCTATGCCAATACCATTTTTTACCATTGGAATATAAATAAAGTAATGTAAATTAAATGATATTTGTTTCTTAGTGAATATAGTAAGTGGATCTATTAATTGTTCTGGGCAACTTGCGTAATGATTCAGACCAATTTAATGAGATTGAGCAGTGATCCTTGTTATTTATACTCTAGCTTCAAAAATTATATAAGAAAATCTTTCCTTGAGCTTTCATCTGTATATGATATTGGCTTATTTTTTTTTATAGTATAAAGGTGACAAACGGGCACACAGTCCACCTGATGTTAAATGGATGCTGTGGTCCATATAAATGTACATTTAACCTCGATTAAGAATCAAAATGCAGATGCATTGCCTCGATTCCAGTAAAATGGGTCTCCGGTTCTTTACACTCACCATACGAATTACAGCAGCATTAAGCTGGTATTCTGTGAGAGCATGGTCTTTCCTCGGTCGAGCTGACCCATTCTTGCTACAACCATAATAGCTGCAGCGTGGCTCTACCACGTACCACGTATAATTTAAAAAAATCTACTAGTTCAAATCTGTAAGAAAACTGATAATCGGAGAGTTCATAGCACGCAATCGCGACTATTATATCATTCTCTCCTCCTATCTTCTTTGTCTCACGGCAGGTTGTGTGAGTAGTTTGAGAAATTCCTGGAGTATTTTAAATTTGCATAAAGTCAAATGAAACGAATATGTGGGGGAATGGGGAATATGTAATTGGCAATTCTTATTCCATTTTGCAACTTTACGAAGTTAATAGCATTGTTTATAAAAACAGTTTAACAGTTGGGAAACGAATGTATGTACTTATGGAGTGTTAAAGTGAGCATGTTTTTTTTTTATAGTACTCATATTTAACTAATTTTAAGTACCATTTTCGTAAAATTTAATATCTATAATGGTGAATTACTGTTAAAGTTATATGAGTTACTCAGTAAAATTAAATTCAAATGACGGCCAGGCTTAGGTATGTTTGCCTCATTTTTTTTTTTATAAAATTGTTTATCGAAATACACCATATAATTAAATTTAGCAATCAAAAAACGAAAATATCTATAAAAGGAAAGTGTCAAGAAAAAATTGGTCAGTGCAACACTTGTAATTGTATTTTTTCTTCTAGTAATAAGTTATCTTGTTCAATAAATATTTTTAACTTATGAGTATGTACATAATGTTAAGAAGTGATATTTGGTACTATAATATCCAAAATTATTTTATTCGCACTATCGTGAAAATCACTAGATTAACCTGCGTAAATACCTACGAGTGCACCTGTGCTTGCATGCGCAAGCACAGGTGCACTCTGTATTCCCTCTCTCTCATAATCCGATCGGACGGTAAACCGACATAACCGGAGAGAGATCAGGCGCAGGACCAACGGCTTTACGTGCTTTCCGAGGCACGGGGGTGAGACACCGCCAACTTCCTGACTCCGGGCAGCTACTGAGAATTTCTTGACAGAAAAACTCAATAGTTAATTTTTTGGCCCGACCCGGGTTCAATCCCGGACCTCATGATCAGCAGTCTCACTACTACAACCACTACACCAAAGTCAGTATCGGTAAATAAACTTATATTTAAAACTCCGATAATGATATATTTATATATTTTATGTATTATTAAAAAAATATTAACAGTTTTAATTTGAACTGATCAGTTGGAATGATAGTTGAACAGAGTGTGTGGCGTCCATTAGGTCTCTAAACTATTATACTAGTCTGTAAGCCTTCCTAAAATGATAAAATAAATAAATTTCCCTTTAAAAAAGGGAAGGGGAAGCAAATGTTTGATTTAAATATTTCTTTTTTAGGTAGAAGTAGTTCAATGGAAAGATCTAGAGTTTGTTAGTGTGCAGCTGTCGTCGGGCATAAGATCTAGTGCTTCGCTGTACCTGGCTCTCCCTCCGGGAGTTCCTGTGGCGTTAACAAGTTCGGTTCGGGGTGGCGGTCTGTTGAAAGCCTGTGTTTTAGGTAAAGTAAAGTTACAGCCTATATACGTCCCACTGCTGGGCACAGGCCTCCCCTCATTTCTGAGAGGGTATTTTAGGACAAGGAAGTGTCCGCCGCGCTGCCCGAATGCGTGTTGGCGAACTTCACATGTCTTCGAAATATTTCTTTTTTCTTATTTTTCAGACATCCAGGTTTCCTCACGATGTTTTCGTTTACCGTGGTAAATCAGCACTTAAAATTGCAATTAACAATTTCATTGGTGCCGGCGGGGATCGTACCCGGTTTGCTCGCGTATTGTGATATTTACAGCGAGCGCTAACCATCTGAGCTACCACGGATCACGTTTACGTCACGTGTTTTCGGTAGAGTTTTATAATTATTTCCATTATCATTACAGCATATAAAAGTCCGCAGCTGAACACAGGCCTCTATTTTGAATTACTGGGAAAACTCTGCTGTCCATCACCTGATTCTATTACCCTTTGTCGCCTCTTACGACACCCACGAGACGAGATGGAGTGGTATCCTATAAAAAAATTTTTTTGTTGTAGCACGAATGGGTCGGCTCGACTGGAGTAGGAGCACGCTCTCACAGAATACCAGCGTAAAATAGCAGCTTAATGCTGCTGTGTTTCGTATGGTGAGTGTAGAGATGGAGACTTTTTTTTACTGGCAACAAGGCATTCCATCTTAGTCCTCACGGGTGACAACGTATCTGCATTTTGATTCGTAATCGAGGGTAGACGTAGATGTCTATGGGCCACAGCAACCACTTACCATCAGTTGGACTGTGTGCTCGTTTGTTTGTGCTCGTGTGCTCTAAAAAAACAACAGTGTTTTTGAAGGGTTAAAAGAGCCAATATAAATAGACTTTGCATTGAATCTTAGTCCTCAGGGGAACTATTTTGGGCTACAGTAGCACAGTAGCCACTTACTATCAGGTGGATAGTTAGCTTGTGGTCACTCAAATATTTAAAAGAAAAAGAGCTATTTGCAATTTATTAAACGACATAATTTAGGAATCAATACAATACATTAAGCCCATCATAAATCTACTGCAGAACAGTGTCCTCCTCATCATAGAATACTATAATACTTACATAATAGGACGGGTGAGTGGGCGGAGCCCGCGTAGCCGCTATAATATAATGTCACTAACACGTCAATTCACACATATAAATGTCAAAACGAGATGTGTTTTGACGTTACAATCGTTTCCAAATTACGCATGCAAATTATTTAGAAAATGCTAAATTGAATCCTATTTACAAATAAATATGTATCAAAATTTAAACGATTTTTTAATGATGATCTTGCTCATAAATCAAAGTCTAAAATGTGTAAATTTAGTCAGTCTGTCAACGCAGCGAATCGGGTTTGGCGACGCCAAGCCTCGTACAAAGTAAAGTTGACAGCCATTCTATTGTGCATTATAGTATTTTATGGTCCTCACTGAAACATTGCCTCATATATATGTTTGTCATATTTGCCATGCTTGGCAAACAAATTAGCAACCGCAGTAAAGTAAAGTAAAGTAAAGTTACAGCCTATATACGTCCCACTGCTGGGCACAGGCCTCCCCTCATTTCTGAGGAGGTTTTAGGGCAAGGAAGTGTCCGCCGCGCTGCCCCAATGCGTGTAGGCGAACTTCACATGTCTTCGAAATATTTTTTTTTCTTATTCCTCAGACATGCAGGTTTCCTCACGATGTTTTCCTTCACCGCCGAGCACGTGGTAAATCAGCACTTAAAATTGCAATTAACAATTTCATTGGTGCCGGCGGGTTTTGAACCCGGGTTACTTGCGTTCTGTTATATTTACAGCGAGCGTTAACCATCTGAGCTACCACGGCAACCGCAGTGTTTTGTTATTTTAAGTTGTTATCAGGAAGATGCAGTAGCCCACCCTTTAATTTCCCTCTGTCGGCTCTTACGACGTACATAAGATAATATGGGATAATGGATTATCTTACGAAGAAACTGCCCGTCAAAATTGAGTTGAAATGAATGAATCCTTATGTTGATCTTTATAACCAAGCTTTCTGATCTTTTTATGATACTGAGCAAGCCACAGATCAGGATAGTAACAAGTGCTATCACAGGACATGGCTCTTTTAACAAACATTTGTTCACCATAGGTGTTACTGACAGCCCCCTGTGCAGGGCATGGGAGAGGAAGAAACGACGGCTCATGTGTTGCTGACATGTCCAGAAGTCGCTTCATACAGGGCTAAACATCTCGGCACGCCGGGCTCGCTCCCCGAAGTTGCTTGCAACATCAAAGGACTGTTGAACTTCTTCGGGGAAATATCACGGCTCGATAACCACATTATTCCTGCCTACACGCAAAATACGTGCTTAGACGTGGAGTTGCGAAAAACAGTCCGTCGTAAACTAAACTAAACCAAGCTTTCTAAATTAATACAATATACAACTCCTCTTTCAGGTCTCGGTTACAAAACTTTCGAAGACGTAAGCCTCCATGGTCGAGATATTCCGTCACTACTTCGTATACATGCCGGATGGAGTGAGAATGTTGATCGTTTGACTGAAATACCAGAATATGCTCCCGTACCTATTGTAACTAACACTGGTATAGATTACACTTACAAAACGTACGACCAACAATATGTGGATAACATATTGGGTCCCAACCCCCCGCTACTAACGGAGCTGTACATAAAGAGTTCAAAGATGTTCTTTGAGGAGCAGAGACTGAACAAGCAAATGAATTTGACACTGCAGTTAAAGACCGAGGATGTAGCGAAAACGCTCAAATCGTGGGTACAGATTGGTGCTCTAGCACCCACCTCAGAATTGTTTCATATATTTCAAAAGATAAAGTCAAACAAAATAACTTATACTGCAGAGGAGTGATGTTAAGTGAATATCCGGGTGTTGTTGATTCCATACAAACATATTCCTCTCTCCTTGGATCTGGATATTAAACTAAAAATTGTTTACGGTAGAATCTATAATCTCTAAATCACTGCCTCCTTTTTTTAAAATTGTTTATAAAATCTTTATTGCATTCCCTTAGAAAAAAGAGAATACGAAGGACAGACTTAATTCTCAAAGGCATTCCCTGCCCGTTAACGCACGGAGTGGTGAGAATTTGACATAGGGGTAGCAATTAAAAAAAAGAGAAGAATTACATCACATTATATATAACAAAATATACATAGTTATTTTGCAATAATCAGCCAAATTTGCAGAGAAGGGTCAGAATAAGTAGAATAGGCAAATGGTGAAGAAAAATTAATAAGAAAATTGCATTTGCCAACATTCTGCCCTTATTGTATTTTAAGTTCAAAATGCGTGGTACTGCACTATTTTAACTGATTTTACTTCGCACGTTCACATTGGCAGGGGTCGATTGGTAGGCAAAAACGTTGTTGCCTATAAATCACACTCAATTTGGGATAACTTCGAATACTAGTAGAAGTCTTATTTACTGTATTTTTAAAAACTGCAGTAACGGTATATATTTAATTACATATTTAAACTTAAGTTTAAACATTGGCTACTCTTTGAAATATAATCCTGTATTATGATATAATATTAAAAAGATATTATTTTCAAAACTATTCCTAGTGTAAAATTATGATACTAATTTTAAAAGAAATTATTCTCAAAACTAAGAATTTAGTCAGTGAGAGAGAGGTCTTACCAGGAGTGTCGGCGGTAATAACGAAGGCGGTCGTAACAAAGGGTTTTATTCATAGAATACTATAATACATACATAATAGAACGGGGGAGTGGGCGGAGTCGGTGTAGCCACTAAAATGTCACTAACTTGTCAATTCACACGTATAAATGTCAACACAATCAATCGTTTCCAATTTTCGTGTCAAGCGTCGCTGCATGCAATTATTTTTTGCAAAAAATTTAAAAAATGGCAAATGTTGTAATAAGTACGTGTCAAAAGAACAGCGAGAAATGGAATTTAAATAAAGGAGACATATTCTACAACCAGTAAGCGAAATATTTATATTTTGTGAATATTAGAAACAAAAATAAAGAAATATTTATGTGTCAAAAACATTAATCAAAAGTCTAAAATGTGTTTGTAGTAGTGATAACTGATAATAATACGATGTGCTCCCGGCGACACCAGTCCTCCTACAAAATAAGGTTGACAGCCATTCTATTGTGTATTATAGTATTCTATGGTTTAATTAATCAATCATTACAATTTATATGTTTGCATTGAGGTTAATATTTGTGTAATTTCTGAGGTTATTCAGCAAACTATTGGTGTACGTGATTTTTGGTAACGCGGTCACCGTGTAGTTGCGTTGCAATGTTCTAACATAGCCACTTGTTCATAAAGAAAATATAACCTAATGTCAATCTATGGTAACCGCGGTTAACTATGACATATGGACGTTGAACATCTCAGTCCTGCCCGTGACCATGAGTGCTGTAAAGCGTTCGAAACGTCGGGTATTTAAAAAGTTAAAATATACGCGATAAATTCCGTAAAAACTAGTATTATTTCAATGTGTAGTGTTCGCGTAAATATAAGAAATCATTATGAAAATATAACAGTCCAGTTCTGGGGGAGTTAACAGGGGAATACGGGTTATGATTTTGTTTGGGTGTCCCAGAACCTTTTTCTTATTAATAATAATTGTAAGTGATTGTGTGGTCTGACTATGAACAAACTTTTTAAAATAATGACTAGACTTGGAGTTCAGAGCACTTTATTTTAACATTTTTTTCTGTACTAATAATTTTTGTGCTACTTTGACTAATCGTGGTGTAAAAAAAATTTATGGTCCCTTTCTAACAAATAATTGGAAAAACTTGCCCACTTAATGGAGATTCTATAATGGTACCCATTATTAAGTTCGCTCAAGGATATTCAGAGATATTGTAATTCTTGTAGTACAAAGGAAAGTTTAGTTTTTTTTATTATTTTGTTTTGGTAATACAACATGAATTATTATCCGTTTTGCAACACTACGATGCTTACAATATTACGTGTCTGTTGTTATCACCTACATGGGTCCTCATAACCTGCTTTGATTAATAAATTATTTAATTTTCGTTTTGTATTATGTCATTTCATCATCATCATCATTACAGCCCTTCACAAGTCCACTGCTGAACATAGGCCTCCCCCAAGTAATGCCACAAAGCACGGTCCTGAGCCACCTGCATCCATCGACTTCCTGTATGTCTTACCAGGTCGTCACTCCATCTAGTGGGGGGTCGCCCTACACTACGCCTACCGGTACGAGGCTGCCACTCGAGAACCTTTCTTCCCCATCGGTTATCGGTTCTTCGAGCTATATGGCCGGCCCATTGCCACTTCAGCTTACTAATCCGTTGGGCAATGTCGGTCACTCTGGTTTTACTGCGGATATCCTCATTTCTGAGCCTATCACGCAGAGAAACTGCGAGCATAGCCCTCTCCATAGCTCGCTGAGCGACCTTGAGCGTCCTCATACGGCCAGCAGTGAAGGACCACGTCTTTGATCCGTAAGTCATCACTGGCAACACGCACTGGTTGTACACTTTAATTTTCAGAGATTGAGGTATACCTGACGAGAAGATGTGTCGTAATTTCCCGAACGCTGCACAGCCGAGTTGAATCCGTCGATTGACCTCTCGGTCGAAGTTGGACTTACCTAGTCGGACTATTTGTCCCAGGTAAACGTACTCGTCAACAACTTCGAGCATAGTGCTCCCAACAACTACTGGCATAGGTGTGACATGGACATTAAACATGATCTTTGTTTTGTCCATGTTCATCTTAAGACCTATCCGTTGGGAGACACCATTGAGGTCATTGAGCATAGTGCTAAGGTCCTCCAGCGATTCTGCCATAAGGACTATATCGTCGGCAAATCGAAGGTGAGTGATGTACTCGCCATTGATGTTAATACCGTATCCTTTCCAGTCCAGTAGCTTGAAAACGTCTTCCAACGCAGCGGTGAAGAGTTTCGGGGATATAACATCACCCTGTCTTACACCTCTCTGCAGTTGGATAGGTTTCGTACTCTGGTTCTGTACTCGGATAGCCATCGTAGCCCTACTGTACAAACACTTCAGCACTTCAATATACCGACAGTCAACTAGGCACCGCTGAAGAGACTGTAGCACCGCCCAAATTTCGACGGAATCAAAGGCTTTCAAAGCAAAGTGGCAGATTGTACTCTTCGGACTTCTGTACAATTTGCCGAAGGGTATGTATGTGGTCTATGGTACTGCAGCCTTTTCGGAAACCGGCTTGTTCGGGAGGCTGGAAGTCGTCGAGTCTGCGTGCGAGACGATTCGTAATGACTCTCGAAAACAGCACGTAGACGTCATTTAAGTGCACACAAATAACTAAATGTAGGTTTTTGGAGCTGGATGTTAAGAGAAAAATGAAAGAAAAGAAACGGATTTAAAGTTTAATTAAAAAGCAATTTTTATAAAAGATGTTCGAAATGTTTACCATTTGTTCGAATGCATAACCTGCACCTTTTTTTTATAGAAGAGGGGGCAAACGAGCATGCGGCTCACCTGATGTTAAGTGACTACCGCCGCCCATGATCAACCGCAACACCAGAGGAATTGCAGGTGCGTTGCCGGCCCTTTAGAAAGGAGTAAGCTCTTTTCTTGAAGGTCGTAACGGTCCGGAAAAATCGCTGGTGGTAAACTATTCCACAGAGAGGTAGTACGCGGAAGAAAACTCCTTTTGAAACGTACTGTGGTGGACCGCCAAGCATCCAGATGGTGTGGACGTTATCGGGACGTTTGCCGCGTAGTGCGTTCACGAAATTTGGCGGCTGGGATCAATCCGAAAAATTCCTCAGAGCACTCTCCATGCTATATGCGAAATAAAGATCTCTTCGCAGTGCCAGTGAATCGAGCCGATCGGAAAGCACTCGGTCGTCGACGATTCGAGCCTCTGCGCTGGATGCGGTATGAATGTTACAATTCTAGGGAAAGCACAGCTAAACGGGGATAGCACAGAGCGTCGCACGTGTAACTGAATGGAATGGAATGCGTGAGCAAACAACACAATCGTATTGTGGGAGGGAGACAACACAATGACATGCGGTTGGGGGGGATAACAATAAGGTTGGGAAGCAGGTAGTAGATAAAGAGTAGACCCGCGGTATTTTTAACCATCAGTTGCAAAAAATAACAATTTGGGAAATTTAGAATATCTTGATAATTTTCGCCCTTGTCCTACAATAATTACAATATCTCCGAACATCCTTGAGCGAATTTGATGATGGGTGCCATTTTAGAATCTTCATTAAGTGGGCAAGTTTTTCTAATTATTTGTTAGAAAGGGGCCATACATTTTTTTTACACCACAATAAGTCAAAGTAGCATAAACATTATTAGTGCAGAAGAAAATGTTAAAATAAAGTGCTCTGAACTCCAAGTCTAGTCATTATTTTAAAAAGTTTATTTATAGTCAGACCACACAATCACTTACAAATACTATTAGTAAGAAAAAGGTACAAATAAACTCAAAACACAATAAGTATAGGCGTAAACTTAAGAAAATTCCATACAATTTCAATAAAACAAATAAATAAATTAGGATCGATGTGCGTTATATATTTTTTAATATTTTTTAGGGATAGGTCAAAGGTCAAGCTACCTCCCATGGCAGTTTGATTCGATAATTCTGGGACACCCAGTATTTCATTGGTATAATCAGTCCGAGCTATAGTTGTCTCTTGGTTGTGTATGTAGCTCGGTTGCTCGGGCTCAGCGCGACACCATTACATCATTAAAAACATATTTTTCAAGTTTCTTGCAGTCCGGATATCCTCTTAAAGTTTCAAAATTATATAAAAGGCTTCCTTACGTTAATAAATAATGACATAAACATGACGTGTGCTGTTTTAAAGTTTATCAGTGGACAT